ATCATGGGATTACAGGCATGCCATGTTAAGAGGCCAATACTCTTCTGCATCAAGAATTAGATTTATCTGGGCAGTGGTGGTGCACACCTTTAATCCCAGCACTTGGGGGGGGCGGGTCAGAGGCAGGCGGATCTCTGTGAGTTCGAGGCCAACCTGGTCTACAGAGGGAGTTTCAGGACAAATAGGGCTACACAGAAAAACCCTGTCTTGGAAAAAAAGAGAAAGAATTAGACTTGATGGTTTGATAGGGGGACATTTTCTGCTATATGAACACACACACAATGCACACTTTATAGGACACTGCAGAACAAACAAAAACCCATTGTCATTTCACACCAATTCAACTTTATTGCCTTGATACTTTTAGGACTCTCTGTGGTCACAGATAATTTATTAAAGAGATGAGACAGTCTACTAAAAATTTGTGGATGTAATTTTTATAATTGGAATTTTCCGGTAGAATATATCATAGGCATTTTATTAAGCATTTTGCAAACTTTGTTTTATATTTTAGCTTCTCCTGGTTAAAATAGATTTCCTCAGGTGGCTTGACAGAGCTTGTGTTTATGATGCCCGAGACCCTAGGGTCAGTCCTAGGACCAAAAGCCAACGATTTGAAACTTATATTGGTGTTTGATATGATGTCAGTAAACTCTCTGTCCCGCCTACCCCACCCCAGTTATTGTCCATAGTCTCCTCCTGACCCCCAGATCTCACCTCTGCTTGCTCCATTTGGAAGGCCATCAGTTACAGCCACACATCTTAGTCTCTCAGCTCACTGCCGTATTCTTCAGTCCAGGGGACATTTCTTAGATCAACGTATGTTACTAATATGGGTTTCACTGTGACATTTTTCATAGACGTGGAGTGTGCTTTGACTATACTGACCCCTCTTGTTACTCCTTCCCTTCAGCCTGATCTATTTCCTTTCCTCTTCCCAAATAATTTCCTCTCTGCTTCCATGTCTTTATCTTTTTAAATCTAGGCTGTGCACCCGAGAGAAACTGGGAGAAATTTGTCTTTCTGAGGCTGCCTTAATTTGTTTAACACAGAGGTCTCTGGTTTCATCCATTTCCCTGCAAATGACGGAATTTTGTTGTTTATATTATTTATTTGTTTTTCTTATTGTGTGTGCACATGCATGAGCGTGCACTTATGTACTTGTGAAGGTCATTCAGAATCTTCCTGTCACTCTCCCCTAGACTAGGTAGCCAATGAGCTTCTGGGTCCTGCCTGCCTCTGTCCCCCAACACTGGGGTTTCAGGTCACCATGCCCTGTCTCTGTCCCCCAACACTGGGGTTACAGGTCACCATGCCCTGCCTCTATCCCCTAACACTGGGGTTACAGATCACCATGCCCTGCCTCTGTCCCCCAACACTGGGGTTACAGGTCACCATGCCCTGCCTTTACATGGGTGCTGGGGATCTCATCTCAGGTCCTCACGCCTGTACAGCAAGTGCCTGACCCACTGAGCCATCTCCCCAGCTGAAATTTGTTCTTTATGGTTGAATGATGCTCCTTTTTAAAAATATATATGGCACACATTCTTTATCCATACCTCTATTGATGGGTACCTAGGCCGAGTTCGTAGCACGTAGCTATTTCTGTTGTCCTCTGCCTCTGATTCCTTTGTGTACATACCCAGGAGGGCCATAGCCAGACTACATGGTAGTTTTTACTTTGGGGGAACTGTCATACTAATTTCCCTAGTGGTGGGGTTCATTTACATTCCCATCAATAATGTCTAAGGGTTGCTTTAGAACTCACTTTATGCAAATAAGATGTCTTAGGCAAATAAGGAGTTCCCATTATCCAGTAGACCTTGTAGAGAATAGTCACAGCTCGGCGAGGAACTGTATTGAGGACACAGAGCTGGGATCAGCTAATCTGTTTTAGGGGTTGGTTTAATCGCCAACCTTAAGCCCAGGGTTGAAAGAAAAGACAGAGGACAGATCTCTTTATTCAGTACCTAACAGATTGAGGTGTCATTCCCACACAGTAAAACATGTAGGTGTTAGGTGCACCGTCTGATAAATTTTGACATCTGCACATACTCATGTAATATCCACCCTCCTCGAGACAAACAACTTTCTGTCAACCCAGGAAGTTCCTGTATACTCAGTTCCAACTAGTTCCCCACAAGAGGGGCAGCCAGTATTCTGATTTCTATCAGTTAGTGTTCATTGTCTAGTTCAAATCTTCATAGAGGTAGACTCATTTAATTTTGTATTTACTTTTTGTGTCTGGCATCTTTTTTCAATTATAATACTTCTGACATTCATGAATGTTGTTCCAGGTACTAGTAATTTATAGTAGTTTATTCCTCTTCATTGTTAAATGATATTCTATTACACTAATGCATCAAAATGTCTTGTCATCTGTTTATATACATTTGTATTTTTTAAACTTCTGTACTATTTTGAGCAAAGCTGATCAATATCTGTACCTTTTTATTGCTTTGGTAACTTGACACAAACTGGAGCCCCCTGGAAGAGGGAGTCTCAGTTGAGGAATTGCCTCCATCAGGCTGGCCGTGGGCAAGCATGTGGAAGCTCATAGTCCCTTTAATGCTGTAAGAAAATTCTAGTTGTTATGGTTTCTTGCCGGTATTTACTTTGCTAGTCTTTTAGTTTCTGTCCTTAGGGGGTAGGAAGTAACAAGCAGCTCTGGTTTTCCTTTGTGTTCACCTGAGGACTAATGATTCCGCACCCCCTTCCAGATACTGTTTGCATACAGTAGCTTCTGCGAAATGACTGTGAGCGTCTTTTGCTGGCTTAAAACTTCCTGCTGGAGGAGTCCTTTTTGATATTCTGGATCTAAGGCCACTGCCAGATGTGCGTATTGCACACTTCTCCCAGACTGTGGCTTGTGCTTTTCAATTTCTTAATGATAGACTTTGAACAAACTTATTTTTAAATTTGGCTATGTTGGGCTTACTCGTCTTTTCTTTCACGGTTATTCCTTTATCCCTGGGTTGAGCAACTGTTGCAGATGGACCTCCCCATCACAGGGATGCCCTAGGCAAGGACCACAAGGCCTGAGGCCCCAGTAGTTTTATCCAGGTGATTCCCGGCAAGTTCAGCAGCCATTTTGTCTCCTTAGGTCAGAAGTTACTCAGTTGTGTTACTACAACCATGCTGGCTCCTGTGTACCAGCATCCATGTTTCCAAGTAGAAACACAGATCTTTCCCCTTTAACACTTCAGGGACCCACTGCCTGGGTTCCTAAGGAGGCCTGTGAGTGCTCACCTGGCTCAGAAAGGATTCAAAGAGCAGTCCCAAGAGAGGTTTAGAAAGCTTAGCTGCTGTTTTGGAACCCCAGTCTGTGACATGTTGAGGCCACACTATGGTCTTGTTCCAGGTAGAAATAGATTACTTCCCTAGCTGGAGGGAGGGTGGAGCCGTTTTTTGCTCTCAGGGGGATTTGTGTGAAGCAATGGGAAGCACATGCGGACTAAATGAAGCCGGAAAAGGAGTTGATGGTTGGGGTGAAAGGGAGACTTTGTTTTAGGTGGTTTCAAACCACAAAGGATTGATGAAACAGGGCGTGGGGGCTTGTCTGGGAGACGAAGAACACGATTCCACATGTTTATTGATGTCCTAGCAATTAGCCATCCTGAAAACCTCGCTGAGGAACTTGGTTGCCTGGTGGAGCATCGCCTTCACTGTGTGGCAGCCGCACCGGGCTTGCACTCCTGCCCCGTGCAGGCTGCTTCAGGCAGGAGCTCTTAGATTTTCACGACCTTCCTCAATTTGGAATAATTCCACTTTTCTAATCTCATCTCTCCACCATTGTACTGACCCCAGCCATCATCACTAAGTTCCTAGCAATATAGCCTGGCTTCTTGAACATTCCCTCCTCACCTGTCCCAGCAAATGCCACCCTGTGGCGTACTGTCCAGCTTTTGCTTACCTAATCACAAAGCTTCTAGAGTTTCATGAATCTCCTGCTTCATGATTTCAAGTCACACTGATGTGTTTTCCTTAGCTTCCCCAGGTTCAAGCTCTACGATTAGGTTATTGGCTAAATATATAATCTTGGCTGGCGGCTGCAGCTGGCCTAGCATACACATGGCCCTGGGTTCTAGTCCCAGAACTGCAATAATTAAATAAACAAATAAGCAAGTAAGCGCTATCTTGCCTTGGCTATTAATTACCATGTAGATGGTCACGTCCATAAGCAAAGGCAGGTTGTGGTCACCCTTCCTGGATTTGCCATGAGGCTGGCACAGGTCCTCACTGAACATCAGGAAATGCTCTCTCCTCTCTGAAGTGGCTCCAAATTTCCACACCAGTGCCAACTTCAGCAGCCTTCAAGTGAGCCCTGAAGGAAAGCATCACCACAGAAAGGAATGCTTGAGCGCCTATGGTAAAAAAAAAAAAAAAAGTAAATAAATAAAAAGTAAATAAAATAAAAAATAAAGGTAGAAAGCAGCTGAGGAAAACATTCATTGCTGAGCTCTGGGTTACACACACACACACACACACACACACACACACACACACACCATACACATATATGCACACAAATAGGTTAAAATCACCAATTCAGCTACACTAGCCAGCCAGCAAGCCCCAAGGATTCTCATGCCTGCATTTTCCCATTCCTGGGATTACAGGCTGAACTGGTGTGCTCCGGGTTCAATAAGAGACCCTGCCTCAGAAATAAGGTGAAAAGCTGGACGGTAGTGGTGCACGCCTTTAATCCCAGCACTCAGAAGGCAGAGGCAGGTATATCTCTGTGAGTTCGAGGCCAGCCTGGTCTATAAGAGCTAGTTCCAAGACAGGCTCCAAAGCTACAGAGAAACACTGTCTCGAAAAACCAAAAATAAATAAACAGTAAATAAATAAAGTAAAAAATAAAAAAGGTGGAAAGCAGCTGAGGAAAACCTTCATTGCTGAGCTCTGGGTTCCACACACACACATAATCATACACACATATGCACACAAATAGGAGTCTATAAAAAGTCCCAGTCACTTGGGAAAACAACAAATGACAGATGATGTGGGTGCAGTGGGAGGGCTCAGTGGACCCAGGGGCTCAGGATTAGGAGGTCAAGATGGGCAGTGGGCTTACGGGCCACATTTGTGGCCGAGGCAGTGGGCTTATGGGCTGCAGTTGTGGTTGAGGCCACAGGACTCGTGGAGGTGAAGCCAAAGACAAGGAGTGGATCTCCGTCACCAAGCTGGGTCGTCTGGCTAAGGGCATGAAGATAATGTCCCTGGAGGAGATCTACTTGTTCTCCCTGCCCATTAAGGATTCTGAGATTATTGAGCTTTTCCTGGGCATGTCCCTAAAGGATGAGGGTCTAAAGTTCATGCCCATTCAGAAGCAGACTCAAGATACTCAGGGGAGCAGGTTCAAGGCTTTTGTCACAACTGGGAACAACAGTGGTCATGTTGGCTTTGCTATTAAATGTTCCGAGGAGGTAGCCACTGCAATTCTAGGGTCCATTATCTTGGCCAAGCTTTCCACTGTTCCTGTGCAGAGAGGCTATGGGGGCGGGGGCAAGATTGGCTGTCTCTGTACTGTCCCATACAAGGTGACAGGCTGCTGTGGCTCTGTTGGTGGTGCATGTATCCCTACCCACAGTGTATGGCATCATCTCTGTTCCTGTGCCCAGGAAGCTGCTGCTGGTGATGCATATATCCCTACCCCCAGTGTATGGCATCGTCTCTGTTCCTGTGCCCAGGAAGCTGCTGCTGCCAGTCAGCATTGATGGTTTCTTTACATCAACCAGAGGATGCACTGCCACCCTGGGCAACTTTGCCAAGGTCACCTTTGATGCCATCTCTAAGACCTACATCTTCATGTCCCCCGATCTCTGGAAAGAGACAGTGTTCAGCAAGTCTCCTTCTCAGGAAAACACTAACCTGATAAGGAATTCCTACAAAAGCCCACACCAGAGTCTCCGTTCAGAGGACCCAGGCTCCAGCTGAAGCGACCACATAAGGGTTTTATACAAGAAAAATAAAATAAGTCTGTTAAAATAAAAATGACAATAAAAGTGTTTGTGAAAGATTAGAGAGGAAAAGACACATGTCTGGAAAATGAATGTTTAGAGTAAGTTGGGGCTGGCACTTTTAATTCCAGCACTTGGGAGGGAGAAGCAAGGGGATCTTTGTGAGTTCCAGGCCAGCCAGGGTCCTATAGCAAGACCCCCATTACAAAAAGACAACAAAAACAGGTCATGTAATAGAAGTACCTAGATCTAGGAAGCAATGGACCCAGAGAAATGGGAATTTCTCAAGGTATCTTATGCTGGGAGAAGGAGAAGTTGCCAGTTAGAGGAGGAACTCATCTCTAGGAAAAGATTTCCTGTAGAACTAACCATTTGTCATATCGCCTTACGAGAATGAAGCCCAGACGTGGATGGGTCAGTGGTGGAAGGGACCACACTTTGACCACAGTTGCTTAGATGTGCAGATACTTGGTCTAGTTTAACCTTAATCTTACTTTAGGACCAAGAAAATCAGCTTCCTTCCCAATGTGACCACATTGAGTAAATCTCTTTTTCCTGCTTTCCACTTTTTTAATTAATTAATTATTTTATTTTTTAAACATTTATTTTTAACTTATTTTTATGTGCATTGGTATGAAATTGTCAGATCCCCGGAACTAGAGTTACAGATAGATGTGGTGCTGGGAATTGAACCCAGGTCCTCTGGAAGAACAGTCAATGCTCTTAACTGCTGACCCATCTTTCGAGTTCTTCTGTTCTCCACTTTAATGTGGCTCTTTAACCAACTTTCTGGGGATGGGTGGCCAGACTTGACCTGAGTCATAGGCTATGACTGTCAAGTTCAGTACACTCTCTTTCTCTCACTTTGTGTTCCATAGAAGGTTCTAGAATACTGGACTGCACAGGTAAGCTGTCATTACCTTTTCAGTAGACTGAAGGCCCCTCAGACTGTGACAACCAAGTCACTGCTTCAGGCCCAAGGTTAACGATTGCTGAGAACTAATTCATTGATTAATATACTGGGGCAGAGCCAGATTGTTGCTTTATGCTGAATTGTGCTTTGGACCCAGAAGTTCTGCCAAAAAAAAAAAAGGTTAAAAAAAATCCTAAGATGATACATCCCAAATGAGATTGATGCCATTGACTGGGAACCTGAATATCTTTCTTCTGTTAGTTGACTCTTGTTTTTATTCAATACTGCAAACATGGGGTATCTGATGAGACTTGGTAATAGATAATGATACTATTTCAACAGCTGACATTTGAGATCATGTTGAATTTATAATCCATTCTGAGTCTTCTCAGGTGTTCTCAACCCAAACCACTCAGGTTTGGTCCTGCTGTTCCGCTTGTGAAATCGGGACAGGAAAAGCCCTTGCCCAGGAATTCTGTTGGTGTTTGTCCACAGTTCTGGGAGCAGCAATGCAGCATGGATCTGTGCTCAGTGCTTTCATCCACTCAGGACGAGAGTTGGAAAGGGTTTTGAATAATCTGGAGAGGCTTTCATAGCACCAAGAAGGTGGCACGGGTGGAAGAGGCCCACACGGAGACTGGAGGGAGTTCTTACTTCTTTGTCCTCCTCCTCATCCTTTCCTCTGCCTCCTCCTCATTTTTTATGGTTCCGAGGATGGAGCTCAGGGTTTCCACATCCTAGGCAGGTGCTGTACCACTGAGCTACCCCAGGCCTAAATGGGCTCTTGTCTGATGACACCTCTCATTCATACGCTATACTATCTCATGGACGTTACAAGGCCACACGGGCTACTAAGCACAGGACACATGACTGTAACCAGGATTCTCAGGACTGTGAGGACCACTTTTGAAGTTATGATAAGTGCACACTCATATTTTCAAAGTGAAGGCCCAGCACAAACAGGGTGACCCCCTCATTCAAACTGCATCTGACATCAGCTTGGTGTGGAAGAGGTGTTAGGAGCCTTTCTGTTACTGTAATGAAACACCCTGCCTGGTCAATTTAAAAGAGGAAAAGCTTAGTCTTTGGCCACAGTTTTAGAGATGTCAGTTCTTGGTTGATTGGCCCTATGGCTCTTGGTCCCAAAGTCAGGCAGCATGGTGGTGGGAATGCACAATGCGGCAAGTGCTCATGGATGCAAAAGAAGGGAAATGGTCAGAGCCCCTCGGTCCACGAGAAAGCATGGTATCCAGTGACCAAACTTCCTTCCGCAAGGTACCACCTGCTTAAAGATTCCATCACATCCTCAAATAGTGCCAATGTGGAGACGGAGCCTCTAATACGGTCCTTTGGGGGGGGGGGACATTTTGGATCCAAACCACAGAGGGCCTCACAAATATTTTGGTGGAGGGGATTCTGGAATAGGGTTGGGGTCTGGGAACAGGTTCCTCCAAGAAGTAGTTCTGCTTTCTTCTGTGGTGTGAGAAGCAGGCTTCATGGACAAGGGGCAGATGCTGCTGGTCCCCAGAGACCTTCAGCCTCTTCTGCTTCTGAGTTGTTCTCTTTCTTTTCAATCTTGTCCTCACAGGATGGACAACTGCCGGTTTCTTCCCCCAGTCCCACCCGTGTGAGGGGAACCCACGATTATGTGACATAAGGAATACCTGCACACCTGTTTACCCAGTAAAACTACTTAATTACATTTTATTTGTGTGTGTATGTACGTGTGTGCGCACACACACACTCGCCACAGCCATGTATATGGAAGTTAGAGGACAACCTGTGGGAGTCTGTCCTTCCTTCTACCATGTGGGGCCTAAGGATCTAATTCAGGGTGCTAAGTTTGGTGGCAAATGTCTTGAGCCACTGAGCCAACTCCATGAGCTTCTGTGTGCTCATTTGTAGCAGCTGTGTAATACATGTAGAGCGTGATGCATGCCCACAGGCCTTTCACACACACGGAGTGTGATGCACACCCACAGGCCTTTCACACATACGGAGCGTGATGCACGCCCACAGGCCTTTTACACACACGGAGCGTGACGCACGCCCACAGGCCTTTCACACACACAGAGCGTGATGCACGCCCACAGGCCTTTCACACATACGGAGCGTGATGCACGCCCACAGGCCTTTCCACCACCTTATCTTTTACTCTCATCTCTTCCAAGTTCCCACGGGTGCATTATGCATGATTAGAGCGAAGTTCCCCCAACACCATACTTCCTCAAATGGCCGTTATCTCATGATGTTCCTATCTAGAAGGTGGCCATCCTCCAGTTGGGGAATTCTCATTGGTTGTTTTAGATCTGTTCAGAAGGTGACTACTTGCCTCTTTATATTCCCATAGATCTGGGCGAACACTAAGAGACTCTACCCAAACTTCAGTTCGTTGTCCTCCCAGTCAAAAGCTCTGTATCTATCAGCATCCTGGCACCTGTCCTTTATAGAAGATGCTCAGTAATAACAGTTGAAAAGGATTGACAATAAATATCCCAGAGCTTGAAACGAAAGTTTAAGAGAGGCCTCCTTAAAGATATACTGAGATTCATTTCCAAAGCTTCAGGAACTTTCCAAGAAAGACATTTATCGTTCATGTAAGGAAGGACAGGTTACCGACATACTTTTTGAGATGATCTGGGTCTTTTTACCTCATAAATAGGATATTCCCACGCTAACAGATTCAATCTTGGTGACGACTAAGACTGTGGGCATCAGGAGGCTGAAATTGCCAAAGCCCACCACACTAGCCACAAACAACTCGACATCCCACTCCTGAAGAGAGACAGCATAAATCTCCTCTTTGGAGGGCTCTTCAGAGTCTTAAACTTGGGGTATGTCAGAATTTATTTAAGTGGAATTTGGTCTCCAGAGAGGGACACATTAAGTCGAAACACCAGGGGACACTTGAATCCCTTTAGAGACAGAAATAGAACCAACACTTTGCAAATCTAAGAGGTGCTGTCAAAGAAAGATTCGCCACAGACAGATCTTTCTTTCAGATCCATTGTCCATCATTGCTGCTGTATTTGGATAAGAAGTTTCCCTAGAAGCCTCAGCTGCTGACCACACGGTTATGAACTGGCGGATCCAGTCATTGGGAGGTGATTGGTTCATGAGAGTTCTGACTTCTCGGTGAGTTAATCTACTGACAATCTTTATCTTTTGGCATTATTGGGAGAGGGTGGGAACTTTCGGAGGTGCCTGAAGAAAGTAGATGGATTGGTGCCTGTCCTTGGAGGCCATGTCTTGTCCCAAATTCTTCCCTGTTTTTCCCGTTTCCTGGATTCTGTGAGGTGAATGTCTTCGTTCCTCGGTTTTTCCACCATGATGGCCTGACTTATCATGATCCAGAACACAGCAAGCCGAATGCCCATGGGTTGAAATCTTCCTCCTATACTTTACAGCAGCGATGAAGAACTGACTGCTACAGTTGCTCTCAGAATCCCCACCCCAATAGTTACTTCACCCCATCACAAAGAAAGCTGGTAGGATATACCAGCTGAAACAAGGCACAGGGTCGCTGGTCCACTGGTAAATTTTCACACTTGGCACGGTGTTGGATAAACGTTGAGTCAGTAAGTGGATTGAATGCTAGCAAACAAACAAAATACTCAGGAGAGCCATTTGTGTAAATTGCTTTAAGGATCAAATCAATCACAATTTTAAGGCAAATAATCTTCCTATTTGTTTTGTTTCTGAGGCTAATCCAAGGACGGTTTAATCAAGGCTGGTACTATTTCATTGTATTCTTTAGAATAGTTCAGGACCCAAGTGTAGAATTTAGGTCTCTGTGGGCAAGGCTCAAAACTTATTTTCGTTCTCCTTCCTTGGAAACTGGTGGCTGATTCTTGGAGGCAAACTCAAGATGGTTATTTTTTAAATGAAAATTGTTAAATAAAGTATTGTTTCCACTAATTGTATTACTTTAAAGTACTTGTTACAGCATTCTGCCATTAGAAATAATCCAACCTGAGTGTAGTGGCGTATGCCTGTAGCTAGCACATGGGAGACTGGAGAAGAAGGATTAAAAGATTGAGGCCACCCTTGGCTTCATAGCAAGG